CAATTGCATTGTTGATAGTGAGCAACCCTCAATATGTTTCAAATATGGATTGGCTTGCCACTTTGCCAGGCAAATTTAAATCCTTGGAGAAGTTATCCACATTATGCAAAACAGGTGACGTTTTTATTAATAGGACTAACAGTTTTAAAACAAATAACTAAATAAATGCTATCTTGAACTAAAACATATAAGAAAATACCCTCTGGAAGTTTACCATTCTTGATATCACAGAACGGTGAACACTTAACTGCCTTTAAAATTGCACGAGTAGTTTGACAAGTGCCTGGAGATTGCTATTGTTTCAAATGTAGTGAGAGGGAATAACCAAGCCATATCTTACCCATAAATACCAGTAGGGTATTACAACAGAGTAAAGTTCTAGGGTCATGACAGATGAGTATACCACTAATAATATCATTTGATGTCCATGCTAATATCAGCTCAAACAAGATGCTCACTGCTTTGTATTGACAACAGCTTTGACAGTTAAAATTGTACAATCCATGGAAAAAGAAGTACATGTATTAGACCAGAACAGGTACGGTTACTATCGTTAGGGCACTAATAGCGTAAAAAAAAACATGTGGGTAAGGAAATAAAGTGTAGCAAATGTTCTGTTTGCACCTATACTCAGACTGTAATATTTTTATCTCTCAGTCGATACATGTGATGTTTATCTGAAAGTCTATGACATACATTCTAGACCTTTTTCTAAAGTTAACAAATTCCAGCCTAACTTTGGCAATGGTCGCCACCTTATGCCCTGTGGCAACAGGATGCACAAGTAGCAATGATCAACACAAGATGTACTGATTGATCAACCAATTTCCATATCGTACATGTGGAGATTTAGCAGACATGAATGTACATTTCCTAAAATGTTTTTCGCTGGCTGCCACTTGACAGAGTTTACTGACAATTGTTTATTTTGCATACACTACATGTATACTCAATTTTGTTGACAGGAATTATCCGAAAGTATCCTCCTGCAGCAAGCTAGATTATTCTATGCCAGCAGTTTTATAACAGTGACACATAGACGTAATAGAAATCCAACAGACTTTATAACTAGATTAAAAAAGTCTGGTTGGTTCTTAAAATGAAATAAATAGCACATTTACACAGATGAACTGTGTCATCTTTGTACTAGTGATGATATGAATATGATCAGAAAAGCTTGCACAGTATATCTGTATAAACTCAATGCTGGGATTAAAAAAAAACGCAACATTAAAATGAAATCAAATAAATGTATTTCCACAATTCAACAACAAAGTACAAAAAATTTACAATTTTCTTTGAAGAGCAATGGGGAAATAATAAGAAATGAGACCGGTTTGCATACAGCATACAGATGCATAGCCTTGCTGTGAGCTGCCAAGAATAAAACCAAAAATAATTTATCAAAACAAATAAAAGAAAAATGAACGAAATTACTGACAAATTGTTTTCTAATCTTAATAAGTATTAAATAGACTATAATTCTGAGGACGAAGCTGGTTCGTAAAACTACAAATCAAAGGATGGACTATTATATCTGTGGATGAGATGGCTAGGTTGGCTTTTTTGTAAAAGTTGCATCTCTTTCTGGACATAAGCATTGCATTAACTAATTTGTGTCCAGGAAGGCATATTTTTTTTTCATCTTTTTATGTTAAAAGGACACTCCAAATATATAACAGTCATTGAAATTCTACCCCACCTCCCACAGAAATAATGGTTCACCCATGAAGGAGAGTAGCTTGCAGGATAAGTCATGTAGACAAGGAGAAATACTGTTTGGTGAATAGTACAATGTATAGTACACAACATGCTGACTATAGCAGGCTCTGTAAAACACCAACTACAAGGAAAACCATGATTGAAGGGACAAAACTACAATGAAATCTGTTCAGAAGCTCATTGTCTTTCACATGACATCTGCTCGGCATGTATCAACAAGTTTCACTGTAGTCATTCAAACTTGCATCTGGATCCTCCCTACTATCATAGTTGTCTTCATTTTGGATATGTTCCTCTGTACAACAGATCAATATATAGGAGGTGTGTTCTTTCCTTAGATAGCAAGACCAAAAACACTAACGATACAGTACATGGTTTTGTTTTCCCATCTGACAGTGCAGCTACCGTCAGTTGTATTATCCCAGAAACAGGAACTTGCTGTGTGAAGACCAGCACCATTTTTTTGCATTATCACACATGTGACTGAAAAACAAAAAACAAATTTTGATATTTATTATTTCAAGGAACAAGTATGTGTGTTTTAAACTAAACCCAAGGTATGGAGTAAAAATTCAGAAGTTAATAGTGTCTTACTGTCACCACCATATTGTTCCAAACACCAAAACATCAACAATGCCAGCTAAGTTGCTGACTGGATTATTTTGCGCACCTCAAGATCGTTACATGATTAGAACTGGTTAGTTCAAACCACTTTTACAAGGGTGTGTCGTTCGGCTAAAATGACCAGCACCAGACACACCATTGCCAGACATGTCATAATGCATAACTTGCTGTTTATTATTGTATATAGAAATGTATATAGGATTGATTAAAATACATTGAAAAGCAATCACATCATTTATATTCAATGTGTCGAGGCCCCCACTATTAGTTTGACGTCTCCTGTTGAGATTGGATTGACCCAACTTGTTCCAATCACGCAACTATCTCCAAGCGCGCTTAGCAAACCAGTCAGCAACTTAGCTGGCAATATTGATGTTTTGGTGTTTGAAACAATATGGCGGTGACAGTAAAGAGTTGAAAAAGTAAAAAGCCAACATCATAGCAATTGTATGTGAACACAATTTGAATGTGTGATCTCAAATTATGTTATTTTGATTTGAAAAAAAATGTGCTTCTGATATCTTGGATGTGTCATTAAAACTGCAGTACTATAGTGCGGTCAACATATACTTACCAATATATTTGAATGGTTTTCCTAATTTAGTCAACTGGTTGAGGCATTGTTCGACAACATTTGACGTCCACTGGTTAACTTTGTTGTGTTGGTAAGCATTGCCACCAATAGCTCCCTCAACGGCTTCCTTGATAATGTTAGAAACTTCATCCACAACAAACGCAGTCTGC